TCCCCGTCTTGTTAAAGACTAAAAATAATGAATATATTTATTAAATACGCGAATTCATTGAAATATATGAATCTACTTTCTCTATTTGCAATAATAAAGTTTCACAGTAAATAAATTTGACAAATAGGGCCAATAAGAATCTAATTATACAGTGATGACATTAGACAGATATCAGATTAAGAAAAAAGTTAGATTCAGACGAGCAATTTTATATAATTACGAACGATTTCTCGCTCGTTCGTACGCGTGTCGGTGGAATATTCCATTAGTTTATTTTTTATTTTGGTACAATCTCTGTAACTATTTATTAGAAAAAACTAATTATAACAATAAATAGTTGCACGTGTATGGGATCTCGTTGATGCAGTCATTATGTGTCATATATAAGTACTGAGCTTCTCTCTATGATGATGAGATGATGAATATAATGATTATTAATAAGTGGAGATACATAATTAAAGAATAATTATATCAAATTGTCACAATTGTGTAACAGTGCAAATTATCTTAATTAAATATTTTAATTATGCGCAAACCTCACTTCTAACTGAACTTCTAAACTAAGTGAAACGTAAACTTCTCTTCACATCATTATATTTTACAAAATTTAATTAAAATAATTAATATTATATTAATTGAGTTTCGATCTACAGAATTAAAGTAATGTAACTTAAATTTTATATCTCTTCTTTAATTTGTAATAGTTTCAACATTTTCATCTTTATTATTATTACAAAATATTATTTATAAATATCGTCTATATATAAATCCATTAATTTTCGCACGTATATGAGCTCAAATTTAACTTTAAACTGAAAAGATTCGATTTTATTAAATTGCAATATTTCAGTTGTAACACAACTGTCGCTTTGCAGCGCACCTTGACCGTACACGACCTCAAGCTGTTTGCGTGATTCTAATTAATGCACGGCGACATCGGGGTTAAATATCCGCGCGGAGGCTCGCGTGAGGGAGCAAGACCGGTCACAATTATCGGTGTCTTGCTGCTTTTTATCCGGTAAAATTACAGAACCGAGCATCGCGGCGGCGCCAAGGCGCACGTACGCGATTCATTCACGCAAAACACATCGGGCAAGACAGTCCCGCAGGTGTGGCGGCCAATGTCAGTCCTGACGTAACGCTACTTGATCCGCACGGCGACGACGATGACTCTCGTCGTGGCGATGTGCAATTGGACGGGCGTCGTTTTATGCATCGTCTGCCTGCGCTACGTGCGCATATAAACGTTTTCAGTTACGCGACGACGACGACGACGACGGACGGCCAATAAATCCCTGGCGATTTATTTCCAGTAAATCACACTTGGTTCTCCGTCTAGGGAGATCCTCGCGCGGGCATCCGTCGCGCCTCTCTTACGCAGATGCAAATCCCGCCGGCTATTTTTTTTTAAACCTACAGTCTCGGGAGCCTCGAAGAATTATGCTACACGGGAATATATTTATACTCCTTGCGAATCTTTTCGAAATCTATGCGAATCTATGCGAATCTTGACGAGTCTCTCGATTGTAAAAACGCAGTGACCGAAACGCATATTTCTTTCGCCCCGTTGCGAACTGACAGGTTTTAAAACCAGATTCTAAAAGATTTGGTAAACTCTTATTCAAAAGAAGTCGTATATTTTAAATTTAAAGTTCTCGTATCGAAAAGTATCTCAATAGTGCCCCCCCTTTTTTTATTTCTTCTTTCGATTCGTGCACGGAAAGAACGATTTTGTTGAAAGGTCTAAAAATTTTGCTAAAAACATATCTGAAAATAATTTTTTATTGAATCATCAAAATAATTTGTTGGGATGTTAAAACTGATAAGCATTGCTATAAAACGCTATATTTTGATATTCCAGCAATTAGTTTGACTTTCGTACAAAATTATTTTGATTATTGAACAAAAATTATTTTCAGATTTGGATTCAGCAAAATTATTCTTTCCGTGTGCGATATACATGTATTTGCTTGATTACGTCTATAATATTATGCAATCGTTAATTAAAAAGCTTCAATGTTTTTTACATTATTGTGACAAGTTGATTCGTTTTTTTTTTATAAGTACATTAAAGATATACGTTTTTAAAATAAGTGTTTTTAAGAAAAGTTTTTTTATCAAAGTTATTTCTACACGATAATCGTGCGTGTTTCGCACGTGTGCTTGACGCGAGAAAAAATTGTTGGTAAAAAGACTACCGCTGTATTTACATCGGAGAGGAATTCATAAAAAATCTTATAAAACATTAATTTCAAAATATCTCATTGTCAGCGTACGTTTCATGGAAGCGTATTTAAGGATTCACATTTTCTAATTGCGAAGTATATCAATAGTGCAGGTTTCTCCCCTTTTTTTATTTCTTCTTTCGATTCGTGCGAAATACATGTATTTGCTTGATTACGTCTATAATATTATGCAATCGTTAATTAAAAAGCTTCAATGTTTTTTACATTATTGTGACAAGTTGATTCGTTTTTTTTTTATAAGTACATTAAAAGTATACGTTTTTAAAATAAGTGTTTTTAAGAACAGTTTTTTTTATCAAAGTTATTTCTACGCGATAATCGTGCGTGTTTCGCATGTGTGCTCGACGCGAGAAAAAATTGTTGGCAAAAAGACTACTGCTGTATTTACATCGGAGAGGAATTCATAAAAAATCTTATAAAACATTAATTTTAAAATATCTCATTGTCAGCGTACGTTTCATGGAAGCGTATTTAAGGATTCACATTTTCTAATTGCGAAGTTCTGCTTGGGGAAAAAAAATGATTCGTGCAGCGCATTGGCAGTCTTAATGCACGCAGATCATTAATTTTCTCACTTAGATTCAAAGTTAGCGATAACACCACTAAATGGACAAACAGACAACACGAATGTTGACCGTTGCAATCTGGTGATTGCCTATTTACTCCGTATGTGATTACGTAACTAATTGATAGGTGGAGGATATGTGTATCGCGCAAGAACGTCATTACATAATGAGTTTGAGGAATAATTTTGTAAAGATTCAAAAGAATTCTCTCTACTATTAACTTTACTAATAGCTTCTTCAAGTATCCGAAAGGTTACTCTCGTTCAACGTTATTTCTATATCTTGCAATCATTTATTTTGTGCATACCAAAAGGGAGCTTTCTGCGCAGCCGACGAGTTACGAAAGCGCCATCGTAATTTTTATCTTTTGCGTTATTTTGCAAGAAATGCTGCAAGTCGCGCCGGTCTAAACAACAAGAGTCCACCTGTCGCTGCATAACTGATGCCGATTATACCTACAAAGACGATTATCCACGCTGGCCGCACATGTTTCAATTATGAGAAATATTCGTAAACAACATAGCAGCGCCGCGGTAATGCGGGATATTTAGCGAATGATGATAGACAGTTTTAGGACTGGAGAAACGCATCAGAAGAAGCGAAAAATATTCATGCGAGTCCGGAAATGTTTTTCCCGGGCTTCTCTTTCGTAATGCGTTAGAGACGACCGACCGCTATGTATGCTGCTCCAGCAGTGCGCAAAATAATTCCCCGCGGAAAAACTGAAATTTGTAATTGCGATCGATTTTTTTATCGCATAGAATTAACATTCTTTAAAAATGTTAATTCTGTCGAATAATCAGGAAAACACAGAATCGAGTGAAATATTCTTCTTTATTTCTGTATAATTATTGCGTATTATAATTAATGTATATATATATCTTAGTTTAATGTATGTTAACATATTCGTCGATTATTAACGGTCGATGGAATTCGTTACGACAAAAGATCCGTTAAACGGGGATTTTAGCGATGATCGAGAAATCTCGCGGCAGCCCGGCCGCAAGATTTCCGGTGAAAACCGTAATTTCCGGTGAGATAAATTGACCGGACGAACGCGCACTCACACTCTCGTATAATACGATCTTAAAACAAGCGCATGGCGCACAACAGCCTTGTACTAAAAATCCACCAAACCGTAAGTTCGCCTCACCTCGCGTCCCCGTTTAAATTCTTATCAATGCACGTTCTACATGCGAGCTCGTTACGTTACGCGAAAATTAATTTTTCAACGTTGCCGCGGTTTTTATAAGAAAGGCAATCTAGTTCTTGTTTATATCGATTATACGCTTGAACGTTGCACGAGGCGTCGAGTCGGGCGGGAGGGAAGGAGAAAAAAAACTGATTTAATATTGATCGAAATAGCGTCTTATTTAATAATTATACGTTCTTTTCAGAGCTCTGCGGGAGGAAAGGGGATATTCGAGCACTTTTAATATTATTGTGTTTTCTTTTTACGGAGACGATAGACGCCTCCGTGCGGCCCAGTTTTTATGATCTTATGACTTTTGCACGTATTTGGAGCGCCGCACTCGTTATCAGTACCATGACTTTCTCCCACATATGTATTTTTATTAGCGGCACTTTCTATTTTAAGTTTAGCTTTCTTGATCCCCGCGAGAAATAATAAGAAAATCGTGAAAACTCAACGATTGTGACATCAATTTCTAATTCATGCGGACAATCTATTTGCAAAAAAGAAACGACAGATTTTTTTTTATTCCTTTAATTATATTCCTGCATCTGGACTACTAATTTATTTACGTCGCAACTCTGACTTTTACATCTTTCGGTCTCTTTGTCTTTTTTCTAATCGGATATCGAGAGAGAACGCACGGGAGAAAGTTTCTTAGTTGGTTATCTATTTGAGTACGACCTGATCAAAAACTTTCTCGAAAATATCGAGCAGCGTTTAAAAAATCCGTCACGTTTGAAGGATGCCAAGCCGTATGCGAGTTCCCAGTATTCGAGGTCCAATAAATTCCGATCGATCCGAGCGCTTCCGCAATTTATTTCGCGCATCTTCGATCGAGAGATTCTCGTTATGTCGGAAGAAAAATGATATTTTTTCACCGAGAGACGTAAGGTCGCACAGTTTTTATTTCGCGCGGAGCCGAAACGCAATAACCGGTCGGCTGCTCCGAAGAAATGACTTTTGCATTAACAAATCATCCTGTTTCTGTTTCAGAGACGTATCGTGAACCTCGCCGGCGGGCAGGAGGAGCGCGCAGTGGCGGAAGGAAAGGAGATGACACGCGGGGTCGCACGAGAGAACGAAGCCGCGATCTTTCCGCGCGCGCGCAAATAACGATCGAGGAGAGCTATACGGCCTTGGGGGGCACGGCGAATGACAGCTTCTGACCGATCGACAGTCGCTTATACGTATATTAGCGGCCGCTTAGCGCCGACGACGGTCCATTCGAGTTTCGCAATCTCTCTCTTTCGATCGCCAATCGCGATCTCAAGAGTTCGGTTCTCTTTCACGCCGGCCGGAGTATAGGAAGAAGTCGAGAGATCCGCCCCCGAGATCTCGTTAGTATCTCGTTCCCTCGAACGAAATACGAGGCGCGACGAAAGTGGCAGCACAATGTAGCGCGGTGACCTCGGCCGAGAGGTTGCGGACTTTCTTCAACGCGCGAAGCAAAACTGCGAGAAAAAATTCGACGAGTGATTACCCGCGAGTGAGAAACAAACGCGCGACCATGAAGACGATGGGCGACGTGGTCGCGGATCCCATCGACGAGACCGACGGCACGGTGCAGCCCTCCAGCGCGGGCAAGGAGTTCGGCCAGAGGACACTGAGGTCTTTGAAGAGAGGACTGGGCCGGCTCTGGAGGAGGCACAGAGGCAACGCGTCGATTACCGAATACGATCCCTCCTACAAAGTCGCGTATCTCGGAAATGTGCTGACCGGATGGGCCAAGGGTAAGTGTGATACTTTGAATAAAATTTCGATATTGTGTTAAATTACCGCTACAGAGATTGTAATTTTACGAATAAGAAAAGGAGAGAAGGGGTATGTGTTTTTTTTTTACTGGATGTATTAAAAAAATATACATTGCGATATTCTCAAAACTAACTTTTTATTAATATTAAATTAATAATAATAAAAAGTAAAAACCACAATAAAGTAAAAGATTAAGTTGTTTCATATGGATTACTGGCTGTCGTAACTTGTTTTAATTGTTATACCTCAGGCTATTTACAGTCAATAAATCATAAGAACAAAAAAAAAGAAATACTTCTACGTAAAAATTAGAATGATGTGAAAAGATTACAGGTGAATTATTAATATTACAGACATTGAAAGCATTCGATATTTTTGCCAACGTCATTTTTAATACATACAAATTAGTTATTAAGTTTGTGAAATAAATATACATATACGCTCGAAGTACATGTATATTTCGAATCAATTTTTGCGCATGTTGCGTCATCGCCAACGGCGTATGCACTGCGCATAATTAATCGAATTGCAAACACGCGCGTATGTAAAAAAAAGTACCCCCCCAAGCAGTTATGTTAAATCGAGTCGATTATCATTTATGATAAATAATACGTTCACGAATAAACCGTTCTTTCATTAATTCCAAACTGCGTCGCACGACTAATTGAACCACACACTTCTCAGGTTTATCGTATCCAAGTAGCCGTTTATTGAGAGCCGGATTTATCCTAAAGCCTATTTGTTCGTGAATGTCTATGCAAATCGCGTATTATTTGCAAAAGTAACATACCGATATTTTATCAGTAACCTCGAGTCGACAGTCTCTCGCCGACATTTCGCCTTCGTTTCGATCGAGTTGTTCCGAACGATGAAAGAAAGTTCCCGATACTTCGAATAATCATGCGTTCAGATAAGAGGCAATTAAGAACGATAGATACACGTCGCGTATACGCCATATTCTCGATCGTGCAGCCTTGCCGCGTGAATGACCAACCGGAAGTGCGCGATACTTCTTACGACCGATACATCAGCAAGTAGCGAGGTCACCATCAATTCTGTATTGGCATTCGTCGCTCGTGAATCTCACCCTTCCCGTCGTCTCGACGTTAAATCACCCTCTCGCGAGCTAGGAGATTTTCGAAGCGATGCATTAAAGTTTGAAGATCAGTCGGCGAACTCTTCGACTGAATCTGGAGTCGAATTACCGTTGATGAGTGACGAAAAGAAATGCTAATTAATCTCTTAAATATTGATTGAATGAAATCTGTAAAAGATGCAGATGAAAGTATTATTTGCCGCTCGAATTTCGAAAAAAATGGATATAGCATTTCATTATTTGTCTCTTGGAAAAAATCTTGATTCGACTGAAGCGCTTTATTTATAACTCTGTTTACAGTCTTTCTCAACAAGAAATGCAACTCAATAAAAATTTAGCTGTTGGGTTACTCAATCTTGAAACTTGAGAGGCCACGATCGCATAAATTCATTCACATAGATTACATGGAGGCTCCTGCTGAGCGAGAACCGGCTTCAAGTTTGCCGAGGAAGAATTGTGGTGCCGACGAGAAAGTGCAAAAACTTCTGAAAACGCGATTCCCGATGTGTCAATGAAAGACGGCACGTGACTCCTACTGTCACGTGCCCTACCCCGTTTTATTCCCCGTTGTTGTGCGCGAAACGAGAACCTTCCGGTTATTAGGTCTCGTCCTGCCCCGAGCGCGAAGCACGGGGGGAAGGGAAACGAAATGTGCCGAAACGCGATAACACGCGTGAGGGGGAAGCGTCCGCGATGACATTCCGTCCTGACACCCGATGTTAGGCGCGGTTAGGTCGTCGTCGTAGCGCGAAGTGGAGAAAAAAAGGTATAGAAGGAATTATGTGGTGCAATGACCGGACATAGGCGTACACGGCACGGGGCCGCGGCCGGACTTTCTCCGCACATATCTTCGCCGCCGTCGCGCTGGATCGGCCTTAATCGTCACCGGCCGATCGCTATTATTAACGGCTTGCGCTAACGCCTATTCGGCGATTAATTAATTCGCGGCTGTCCCCGGGGTATCCGGCGATGCGGGGCGGCGCGTACCGTTCAAGACACATGTTGCGTGCGCGATCGTACTTATATGTTCGCGGCCCGTATATACTTACATTGCCGCAATATGCCGCGTTTTAAACCGTAACCGGAATCGGCGGTCGCATTTCGCGCTAGGCGTGAGAAATCGGGAGACGGACGCGCGTAGCTGAAAAACTTTAATTGATACAAACATGGTAAAACAAATAAACGTATTAACAGATTGCTGACGTGAGTACGGTAAAAGAAGTATACGAGGGGCTTATAAGATAGAATTTGAGATTTTTTTTTTTCAAAGAATTCCGCATGCGACATACCTGTATAAATGACTTTTTCTGCACCTTCATTCTTGATTCTTTCGTATATATTTCTACCGTATTCTACCGTATATATTTTCGTTTTGAAATCGTGCGTTTTAAGGATTTGTTTACCGGCGAAATTTTCACCGGTAGATCTTCTTTAAAGTGGGAGGTACGTGTCATTGAATGTATAAGGACGACAATTTCATTTAGCGAGCCAAATAGTGGCGTGAACACGGACTATAAATAGCTTTTGACTCTTTATCGCGACAGGTTTAACCGACGTGTTTGTATTTTTGATCACTACGTGCTGATACATGTACGCGAGGGGTCTAAAAGCAAAATGCGGAGTTTCCGATCGAGAATAACTTAACCACACCGACGTGACGTAGGTTCGTCGTATGTGTATCAACTGTACTTCCTCTCAATAGCGCGTATCGTATGTAAGATTAATTTCGTTACTCTTCAAAAATTATTTCTCCTGTTATTATAAGGCGGACGTGGTCTTATCGGATTGATTAACGTTGTACAACGAGCCACAACGAGCAAAGTCGGCGATAACAAGGCGCATGCAATTTGTTGTTGTTTATGCTTTATAATACAAAATTTTTAAGATCTGAGCGTGAAACAAAAAATATGTTGTATAATCTTTTAGAACTGCGTACAAAGATTCGAATTACGTTTGACCAAAATTGTTAATTTACTATTAAATGTTTGAGATGCAAAATTTATAATCCATTTATTACAATTATTATAATTACGTATCTTGGAAACAGTGCCATTTAGTAAATCCAGATATTTTAAATCTAATTCTGAATGTATCTCTTTTATTGCGGCACATCGATAACGATATTAAAACACAAGTTGGCTCACAATTAGATTTAAAAGAAAAGATACGAAGAACACGATAGCCCCGCCGTAGACTAATCTGTAAAAGATCCATTTTTAACATTTCGGAATGCTGTCTCTACACCAGCACTAGCGCGCATCCAGATTCACAATTATGATTTTTAGCTTGTGAGGGTTATCGGCGTGCCCGAGGTTGTGAGAGATTCAAGGAATGAAAAGATTATAAAAAAATTCCGTGTATACGTCGCTACCGGTCCTTCATCGAATTCACGCGGCCGTTTCCAGTTTTGCCTCGAACTTGTTCTCGTCGACCTTCACGTCGCTTTCCAGAAGAATACGCAATCTTTTTTGTCCTCCGTGCATTTTTATTTTGCATAGGGAAAAGTAATTTGGAAAAAAAGCATCAAAAGTTATCCCCCTTTAGCATAAGCTACTTATTTGTTGAAAGAAGTATCTGAATTTTTTTACGAGATGTTTTATTATACATGCAGAACCGTTAATACGCCGCGAATATTGTGAATTTTTTTGGAGCAAATTTACAAGATTTAGCTTCGAGACTAGATCATTCATTATGTAGCTGAATGGGCTATTCACATTTTTTTGCTGGCTTTTGTAATTTTTAATCTTATATTTTAATTACAATTTATAAAAAACTTAGAAAATAAATCGAATTTTACACAGTATAATATAATTATATAATAGAACCTTCAAACATGATTTGTATCTTTTCTCTGGTTATATTATCTGATTAAAAAATTGCAATTAATAATAAACAATTGTTTAAATTAATTTACATAAATGTCACACTACGTCAAAACGTATAACAAACGCATTACGCGATTATAAAATTATAAATTTTCTTAATTATGACAAATAAAAGGAGGAAATATTTTTTATGATTAAAAAATCTTTGGCAAGAGCGGTAGATTAATATTGAAATCAGTAATATCTTAATCTTAAATTAACGACGCAAGAGACTTAAAACTAAAAGAGAACACATTTTTTTCTGATTTCTACGAAATCATTGTAATTAATGCGAAATTGCTTCGAACACGAAGCGTGAATATTATATTCTCGTTTTCTTTTTTATAAGTAGTTTGATTTACACGACATTGAAAACCGCGCGTGTAACTCCATTTAAATCCAATCGCGATGCTGGAATGTGATCTGAGAGACACGTCTCAGAATTCCCTACTGTATCGCCGATAAATTACACAACCGTGCGTGTCTGATAAGTTGGGAATTATACCAGGAAAGCGCGAAATCAGCACTTATGTTTTTCACCGACGATTGTATTAGTTATCTAGAAACTTTTTCAGACGTGTTTCGCTTTTCATTAATTACCCACTTGTTCACTTCTGTGAAGACAGCAACCCATTTTCAGAATCACGATACGACGTGGCTGCGGGTGGTACATACATGAGAAAATTAAGTTTTCTTTTTTTTTTTTTTTCTTTTCGGAAATTGTAACATTTTCTCGGGAGTTTCGATTACTTCTTCACTCAAGGATCACGTATCTCGTGCGAAGGCGTGAGCGTCATCTTTAAATAATAAGTAGAGACCGCAAGAAATATAATGTTCGGATATTTTCCCGAAACTGATAAAAAGAGACATTGAGCTATTAGTCACGAAATTAAAGAGAATAATTGACGTAAAGTAACATTATTGATGAATGTGAATATCGAGAATACGCCTCGATTGGTAACGTGCAGTGTAATTAGAGCAATTTTCTTCTTGTCTTTGATATTTCATAATCTATCAA